ACACACACACACACACACACACACACACACACACACACACACACTGGAATATTATGCAGCCATCAAAAGGAGTGCAATCTTGCCATTTGCAACGACGTGGATGGAACTGGAGGGTATTATGCTGAGCGAAATAAGTCAATCAGAGAACATGTATAATATGATATCACTGATATAAGGAATTCTTAATATCAGGAAACAAACTGAGGGTTGCTGGAGTGGTGGGGGTGGGATGGATGGGGTGGCTGGGTGATAGACATTGGGGAGGTTATATGCTATGGTGAGCACTATGAATTGTGTAAGACTGTTGACTCACAGACCTGTACCTCTGAAACAAATAATACATTATATGTTAGAAAAGAAAAAATAAAGAAGATAGCTGGAAGGGAAGAATGAAGGGGAGGAATCGGAGGGGAAGTTGAACTATGAGAGACTATGGACTCTGAGAAACAAACTGAGGGTTCTAGAGGGGAGGGGGCGGGGGGATGGGTTAGCCTGGTGATGGGTATTAAAGAGGGCATGTACTGAATTAAGCATTGGATGTTATATGCAAACAAGGAATCATGGAACACTACATCAAAAACTAATGATGTATTGTATAGTGATTAACATAACATAATAAAGGTGATTTGTTTGCTTTCTAAAAAAAGAGAAAAAAAAAGAAAATGGAAAATAAGACCATCCATCAGAAATTGACTTCAAGGGAAGATCCATGTCTCAGTCTTAACACTGGATGAAAGAAGGAGAGATAGAAAATCTCTCCCAAGAATCGGACCCATAGTCCTTGCTTTGGTTAGAGTTTCAATTCATGCAGTCAGTGTGGTCAAAGACCTTAAACAGAGAATGTAGGTAGTTTACCCAGGTGACTAACAGGAGCAAATGCAAATTGTCTTGTAATAATGCCATTGATTAGAAGAGGAGAACCAATTTCAGAAGTGTTAAAATGTGGAAAAACAACAACAAAAACATGTGTCTTAGAAACAATGAAATACAGTAATTAGAATTTCCTGGTATATAAAAATTAATTAAATATTGCTTACATGGGAATAATTTGCTTTATGCCATACTTTATCAATGATGTTAACATAATTTACTCTAGCAAGCACAATGCAAGGGGAAATAGAAGCAAAAATATATATTATGATGGGCACAGAAAGTTACGCAACATTCAGAATGTCTACTCTAAGACCACAGTCAAGGTGTAAAAATTAATATGCTTATCTCAAAACCCAGATATCTGACAAGCATATTTTTAGTGCACACCACTTCTTTTCCTAGTTTCTTTCCTCTGAATGTGTCTACATACTTGGAATACATTTTTATGGGTCACAGATAAATTTGCCCTTGATTTTCACAGTTCAACAGGAAAATATAGAACTCTTAAAAAGCAACTTCTGAAAATAGAGATTAGGAATATATGTTTAAAACCTATATTTAAACTACAAGATGCTCTGTGTGCTAAACTTGACTCCACAATGCTTCTGTGGCAATAGTACACATGGTCTTTACCATGATCTCAACCTAAAGCCCTAGATTTGTATGTGGCAGCTCTAAGTCTACATTTCTCTTATGTCTATTGGTTTGGTTCCTAAGAAATGTAGATTCAAGGGCTGTGTCTTGCTCAAGCTGGCATCCCTTTTGTGGATGTGATAATTCAGGTTCTCATGGGGACAGGAACTGAGGTTTTGGTCTTCACTGTGAAGTCATCTAATTGACCATCAAGGTTCTTGGTGATGGTCTATGATCCAGAAATCTCTCTCACAAGCAAGCATTTGACCCAATAGAATTTTAAGATCAAATGAGTCTTTCTAGACTACAGATGTTTGGAATGGGATGGATGTCATAATGAGTGTTCTCAGAAATCAGCTGTCTTCTGGGGGCAATGGGCCCAACTGCTGATCACTAACCCTTACCTAAAAACACAAGGGTCATTCCCTTTCCTCTTCTTTTTTTGAACATAACACAGATAGCCTTTCTAAATTGAAGTTTTCAAACTTTCCTTTTCATTAGTTTCAAGTGTTCAGTGGTGATTCTCTTTTTCATGTCTTAAAAAAATGAGTTACAGATTATACAATACTTGAACATAACTATACAATTTAAGAGGGGTTTTGAGACCTGCGTGGAAATACTCAAAACAGACAACAGTGTTAGAAACTAAAAAATGGCTAAAGGTTTTGCTGAGGAAAACCCCACCCTCTTTTCCTTCCTTACAACTGTTAATGATGCAACAAGTGGGATGCCTCTTAAATGAGAAATGGATGAAGTAGGTGCTTTGAATAGAAATAGGAAATAAAGCTCTTCTGTTGAAATTAAGGCCTTGGTACAAAATAACGTTTATTCAAGTCATTCAAGCAACTCCATTCCATTTCACAAAGACTAAAAAGACCCCTTAGAAGCCCAGACACCTTTTCCTTGCCTTCTTACAACAAAAATAACCAAAAGGAATTCATTCCCAAGTGTCATTGGATGCATAAGCTTGCTTTTCTACTCTCTTGTGTTAAGAGGGTAAATGGATAATTAACTGCTCAGTGCTTTTCTTTTTGTTGTGAAAAACGAAACCCTGTGTATGTGAACTTTTCTCCCTTTTTCTCGACCAACAGAAAATGTCATTTTTATATTGTTTTATACATATATAAAATACATATCAACACATTTATGCACAAATGGGAAAATGCATAAATACACATATTATGCGCAAGTAGAATATCTCAATGGGAGAATAAAATAAATCTAAATTTGTGTTTTTTCCCAAACACATTCAACTCTCACTATTGATTTCACTGAAAATATTTCTTGGCTACTATACAATTATGGATCAATTGTTTGTGGATAATTCTTTCAGTGAGTGGATATTGGGTTAAGGCTTGGTTAAAGACAAGACTTACTGTAGTACAGAAATGAGGTCAATTTTGAAGTCCTACACTCCTCCTCAAGTAATTTTATCCTGAGCACATTAATATAGGCCTACTCATTTGCCCCCTTTGAAGCCATGTGATTTTCTACAGGACCCGATTCATCAGGGTCCCAAATGTCTGTCTTGCCACCATTCTGAGGGATATCTATATTTCTGAGCAAAAGTCAGTCAGGACTCACCTCTCCTTCCCTGGGCCAAGGCCTTCCATTCTGGGTGTATTTGCTTTGATTCTGTCGCTTCTTTTGTCCTCCATCAGCGAATTTGCACAGTAAAGGCTCACTAGGGGCTGGGAAGATAAAAAACCAGTTCTACATTAGCAAATCCCCCTTAAAAACAAGTGATTATTTGAGTCACAGTAGTGCTTTGTAATGCCTATCTTTTGAAGTTGTCTTGCTTCTGGAGAGATATTTGGCCCCCTCTTAGTCTCAGTTATGTTGGCTGCTATTCTAACTGGACTTCAAAAAAGTACTGCCAGACCACAAAAGAGAACAAAAAATATTGTTGAAAAAATGATCACTTGAAGCAGAATGTGAACTTGCCTTAAAAGTAAAGAGGGGAATGTTGACTCCTTCCAGTTATATTAATGCTAAAAACCAGACAATGGGTCCAAAATGGAGTCACTTATGCTAAGCTCCATGTCACCAAACCAAGACCTAACTTAATTACAGTTTTGGCTCTCCCAGAAATGGAATTTTAAACCAGCCAATCAGGAGTCACCTGATCAGGGGCACCTGGATGGCTCAGTCGTTAAGCGTTTGCCTTCGGCTCAGGTCATGATTCCAAGGTCCTGGGATCAAGGCCCGCATCAGGCTCCCTGCTGCACGGGAAGCCTGCTTCTCCCTCTCCCACTCCCCCTGCTTGTGTTCCCTCTCTCGCTGTCTCTCTCTCTCTGTCAAATAAATAAAAATTTTTTAAAAAATTATAAAAAAAGGAGTCACCTGACCAGCACTAGTGAGGTAATTTATCTGATGACTCCTGCCATCCCCTAAAGAAAAGTGATCTTGCCACAACCAATCCACTTTTTGCCACTATAACTTTCTTGTTCCTGCTCCCTTCTGCTATAGAAGCTTCCCATTTGCAGAGGTCCTCAGAGCTCCTCTCTACCTGCTTGAGGAGAGGCTGTCTGATTCACAAATCCTTGAATAAAGTCAGTAAGATCTTTAAAAAGTACTCTGTTGAATTTTGCTTTTTCACATTAGAAATATATTCATAACCAGTATTTGTGTGTAGATAAATATTTCCCCCTCAAATTAACTATGTTTTCACAGTAGAAACTGTAGGATTCTATTTTGGAAAGAGATCCTTAGGAGCTACCTTCTAAAAAGGGAACCATTTTGCTAATTACAACCAAATCAGTTTTTTTTTCTCATTAATCTCTGTAATTTCAAAACGGCTAGAAGCTGATTGTCCATTGAACCCCCTTCACTCCAATTTCCCAGTGAAATCTAGTCAGTATCCCAGGGAGAACAATTATTTGAATATCAAATGAGCCCACATGATAAAATATAGTCAAAGGATATAGCTCTTAACAAATGAATCCTGGACTCGGGGAAATGTGGTGGTGTGACTTATTTGATAATCTTTTAAAACACAACAGGGAGAAACTTATTCTTTGAGAATTGATGCCCCCTCCACATCCCTACAAGACTAGAAAAATTGCTGCTTGTTACTATGATAAATGTGTTTAAAAATGAATAAAAAGAAAGCCATATTGGTCTAAAAATCTTGATCAATGAATTAACATGGCTGGGAGGATTTTTTTGCTAGTTTATTTGCTTGGATAAAACAAATACTAATTTGTAAGTTTATGATCTGAAAACTAAAATGGACCCCTTCCTCCCCTACCCCCTGGGAAAATGTGTTCTTCTAAAGATTAATTGTATTAATGGTTGAAGGGGAGCAGAATATACCCCTGAAGAATATGCCTCTTTGGCATAAGGCTTAATTTAGGCTCATTATTTTTAAGAAACAACAGATAGAGGAAAAGCTCTGAAAATTGACTGGAAGTTACCCTTTTGTAAGAGACATTTATATTTATAAGGGAAATCTCTATTTGTAATAGTTTCCCCCTCTTTGTATCTGGAAGAAAAGAATACTCTAAATCTCAAGAAACTCTTATCAGTGGAGAAGCAAGGACTTAAGTCTATGCAACAACCTTACCCTTGTTTACTGTGCTTTTCCTGGTAATCTACCATAACCGGCCTCCCTGCCCCCTCCCCAGCACCTTCTTTTGTCTTTAGCCGAAGGTGGTATTTAAGATGGTGACTTCAGCCATTTCAGGGAGTTACTAGGTTTTCCTGGATATCTCCACACAAGAGGCATATATGTTATTAAACTTCTTTTTGTTTTTTTCTCCTGTTAATATGGCTTTATGGGGGGGAGGGGAGTCCCAGCCAAGAACCTAGAAAGGTGGAAGGAAAATTATTCTTCCTCCCCTGCATGATCTTAATTCTTTATTTTTTTTTTTTTAAGATTTTATTTATTTATTTATTTGACAGAGAGAGACACAGCGAGAGAGGGAACACAAGCAGGGGGAGTGGGAGAGGGAGAAGCAGGCTTCCCACTGAGCAGGGAGCCCAATGCAGGGCTCAATCCCAGGACCCTGGGATCATGACCTGAGCTGAAGGCAGATGCTTAACAACTGAGCCACCCAGGCGCCCCACAATCTTAATTCTTTATCCCTCCTTGTATCTTTGCCTTTTGCCATGTAGTATTGTTGAGCCCTCTGAATCTTGGTCTGATTCCATGTGAATTGCTCTAGCCAATAAAATGTTAGCAAATGAGACACAAGCAGAAGACTAAAATGTTTTTAAGCATTGAGTTTTGCTTCTTTTGCTTCTCTGCATAACCACATGAATATGCTCAACCTGGCCTGCTGAAGGATGAGATACAAGTGTAGATGAGTTATCCCTATCATCAGAGCCAAGGCCACTACCTGGACATGTGAGTGAGCTCAACTAAAATCAGCAGAGATACACAGATAGCATGCAGTTGACCCCAGACCAGGTGAGGTCAGTAAAGATGATTCCACAAATATGTAAGCTAAGTAAATCTTTATTGTTTCATATCACTAAATTTTGCAATTGACATGCAACATCATAATCTTAATAGATAACTGATATCATTTTCCCCAACACCCATTCCTCCCCATTTCCACTCCAGCTAGCTTGTTTGCATTTACTAATCTGGATAAAGAAAAAAAAAAAAAAGATTATGGAATTCATGAGACTTCCAGTTGCCTCCAAAATCAATAGTGGAAAAAGAAATGAGTGTGTATCCACAAATGAATATTTGAAAATCATTTGGCTTTAAGTGGCAGTAGTATTTACTCAATCCTTTTAGTTTACTCTTTATTAGCAGCAGCATTCTATTAACCAATATTGAAGGAAAACTGACTCAGACAGAAGGTCAGAATTGGGCAAAATTAAAAATAAATTGTCTTGCCTGCCTATAGAGGAGGCATTGCGGGTCTGGAATATGTAACTCATCCTGGCACATAACTCAACCAATGTCATTCCTCATGGAGCACAAGTGCTTCCCAACTGTCTGCTTTTGGGAGCCTCCAACTTCAGTGACTTTGGTGAAGCCACAGAAATCACACAAAGGAAAGGCTGAATCATGAAGTGTCTGCAGACAGTTGCTGCCATGACACTGAAGTAGTCTAAATTCTTTCTCCAGATGAACTGAAAGGATAAATGCAATCAAGGATCCTAAAACTCTATGCTAAAGAAAATTTCCTGCGAGACTCCAAAAGCATATATAAATATGTGCTTATAGTGAGGAATGATTATATATATCATATATATCATTATACATGTATAATCATTCCTCACTATAGGATATTTTCTCTCTTGATATTTTAAAAATTCAAGGTATATTCACTCATTCAAATGGGATGGTCATGCTGACATGTGAGTTCATAACTGACAATAGTACAAATTTCCCACAAAAGGCAAATAAATCTAGAAATACCTTAAATTTCCTGCTGAAAAAAAATGCAGATTCTGCCTTTTATTCTTCTTGGGATAATAACTTCCATGAGTCATACTTTCTACTGTCTGAGGTAGGATTCTCTTTATTGTCTCCTAAAATGGATTCTTTTAGAGTATATAATGTACTGATTCTAATAGGCTAGAATATGATGACTTCTCTTGAGGTCATTCATGTTTCTGTAGGCTTTGTCACTTCGTTTGGGTGCATTTCAGTGTTTAGCAGTCTGTTTCCTGGCTCCCTGACTTACTAACTACAAGACATCAGACACCTTAAAAATTTTTTTTAATATTTCTGTGACTCATTTTCCTCACGTATGAGATGAGGATAATAACGTTACCTACCTCAGGCAGCCGTTGTGAAGGTTAAATAAATTCATGTGTGAAAAGGGTTTAAAACAGTGTACGGTACATAAATGATTATTAAATCCACATTAGCTACAACTATCACTATTGCTTAGTATCTTTATTAGCCACTGCCCATGTATCAGCTATGAAACCTAGTTACTTAGCAGAGTCAGAGTTCAGAGTGTTTAATCAACGAGGCTTATTGTTCCTCAGCTCTGTCCCACTCTAACTCCATGGTTGGTTTGGCCACAGAACTTGCAACTGACTGCCCTCCAAGAACAGTGAAAAGATTTGCTCATTGAGAGGATCCATGTTTCCAAGATGGTTCTTGCTAACTGCAGCTTGTCAGTGGACCATCTGGCCAGCTTCCTCTCCTGAGTCCTCACCAAATTTCGACTTCCAATATCCCCTGAGTATGATACAAGTCATGTTTTCTTATGTATGGTAACATTCCATTGCCTACACTGAATGCTCCCTGTTCCCTTTTTTGCTGTGGTTTTAAAAAAATTATTCTTACTACTATTTTTTGTTACTCAGTTGCTAGAGATCTATCGGCTGTTTAAATCCATCAAATCTGTATTTTACTACTAGGATAAGTACTGTGCTGTTTACATATTATGGGCAAGCAAAAATCGCCACCCCAAAATGTGTCTCTTTGGCATGTATATACCCACACATATATTTAAAGACCTTCTTGGTGAACCCTTGTAAACTATGGAATTAGGGGAACAGCATTGGCAGGAAAAGAAAAGGCTCTGAACAAATTATTAACCTTAGGATTTTTCCTACCTACTGGCATAGAGAAATTTTATAGAAGCCTCTTTAAAACAAATATTACCAAATAACAATATTTTAGCTTGCCAAGGATCAATTATACATAGATGATGAGAGTCTGGGTTGTAAACCTACCTTGAAATTTTTCATTATTGAAAAGAGAACTTTCAAAACA